CACTTAATCCTCAAACCCGTCCCCGCAGACCAGATGATAGTTTCTCCTTCTAGCAATACTACCACCTCCACTCTGCAGAGCTCCGGGGGAGCTGGCACACACACTGTAACCAAAATCCAGTCTGGCACAACTGGGGCAGTTATTTCCGCGCCTCCAAGCACACCCGTCAGCCCAGCCATGCCCCTAGACGAAGATCCCTCCAAGCTCTGTAGACACAGTCTCAAATGTCTGGAGTGTAATGAAGTCTTCCAGGATGAGACGGCTCTGGCTACGCACTTCCAGCATGCTGCAGATACAAGTGGACAAAAGACTTGCACTGTCTGCCAGATGCTGCTTCCTAACCAGTGCAGTTATGCTTCACACCAGAGAATCCATCAGCACAAATCTCCCTACACCTGCCCCGAGTGCGGGGCCATCTGCAGGTCGGTGCACTTCCAGACCCACGTCACCAAGAGCTGTCTGCACTACACACGGAGAGTTGGTTTTCGATGTGTACATTGCAATGTTGTGTACTCTGATGTGGCCGCACTGAAGTCTCACATTCAAGGCTCTCACTGTGAAGTCTTCTACAAGTGCCCTATCTGTCCAGTGGCGTTTAAGTCCGCCCCAAGTACACACTCCCACGCCTACACGCAGCATCCTGGCATCAAGATAGGCGAACCAAAAATAATCTAAAAGTGTTCCATGTGCGACACTGTGTTCACCCTGCAGACCTTGCTGTACCGCCACTTTGACCAGCACATTGAAAACCAGAAGGTGTCTGTTTTCAAGTGACCAGACTGTTCTCTTTTATATGCACAGAAGCAACTTATGATGGACCATATCAAGTCTATGCATAGAACATTGAAAAGTATTGAAGGGCCTCCAAACTTGGGTATAAATTTGCCTTTGAGTATTAAGCCTGCAACTCAGAATTCAGCAAATCACAGCAAAGAGGATGCCAAGGCTATGAATGGGAAAGAGAAATTGGAAAAGAAGTCTCCATCTCCTGCAAAGAAATCCACAGAATCTAAGAAGATGGCCAGTCTCGGGTGGACGTGTTGGGAGTGTGACCGTCTGTTCACACAGAGGGATGTGTATCTCTCTCACATGAGGAAGGAACATGGGAAGCAAATGAAGAAGCACCCTTGCCGCCAGTGTGACAAGTCCTTCAGCTCCTCCCACAGCCTGTGCCGCCACAATCGCATCAAGCACAAAGGCATCAGGAAAGTGTATGCCTGCTCACACTGTCCGGACTCCCGGCGGACGTTCACCAAGCGGCTGATGCTGGAGAAGCACATACAGCTGATGCACGGCATCAAGGACCCCGACGTGAAAGAACTGACTGAAGGTTCCAATGAGGAGGAAACCGAAACCGAGATAAAGGAAGACGCCAAGGCTCCCAGTCCCAAGCGGAAATCGGAAGAACCGGTTTTAGAGTTCAGGCCTCCCAGAGGAGCCATCACGCAGCCTCTGAAAAAGCTGAAAATCAACGTCTTTAAGGCTCACAAGTGTGCCGTGTGTGGCTTCACCACGGAGAACCTTCTGCAGTTCCACGAACACATCCCTCAGCACAAGTCGGACGGCTCCTCCTACCAGTGCCGCGAGTGTGGCCTCTGCTACAAGTCCCACGGCTCCCTGTCCAGGCACCTCTTCATTGTCCACAAGCTGAAGGAGCCTCAGCCCGCGTCCAAGCAGAACGGGGCTGGGGAGGACAGCCTGCAAGAGAATAAGCCCGGCCCCGAGGACGAGGCCGCTGAGGGCGCAGCGTCAGACAGGAAGTGCAAAGTGTGCGCCAAGACTTTTGAAACGGAAGCTGCCTTAAACACACACATGCGGACACATGGCATGGCCTTCATCAAGTCCAAAAGAATGAGTTCAGCTGAGAAATAGCCACAGGTCTTCCACAAGAGAAGCCCCATCACATAGGAATTGGAAACAAGACTTTTTTGTTACCGAAAGTTTGCAGTAAAACAGCGTTAACAGTAATGTCTGGGCTGTCGCAATATGTCCCCTCCCTCACCTCCTCAGATGTATCCCTCCCCATAAGTATTAAGGCAGTATTTGAGTTTTAAAGAATTTGTATATATTTAAATAACTTTTTATACTCTTTGTTACATGTTTGTATCAGTATTTGGTGGAAAATGTTTTGAGGTTGTTTTTTTATTTTGGTTTGTTTTGGGTTAGAGTTTTCCTTTTTTGTAACGTTTCTTTAAAGCAGAGTTCTTAGTAACAGGGGCAGTTCCTGAATTCAAACCAACCATTTTGTATGTTACAAATTTGAATGAGTTCAGTAACTACAGGCTAACATGCCTTTTTTAGTGTTTTTAATTTTTAGAACTCACCACATAAATTATAGGTGATTGTGGGTCTCACAACACTGGCCACTCTTAAGTGTCTTAGAACCACACTCAGCGTGCCTGTTCCTAGCCACTGAGGGCTCCTAGGACAACAGCACCCAGGTGAGGGTGTGGCCTGAACCCTCCCGCACAGCATCCAAAGCAGCCCTGCTTCCTCCAGAGTAAGTAAAAGAGGCCAGGAGTCCAGCAGGGAATGCAAGCATCCTTAATCCACCTGGAGGAATGAGGAAGAGGGGATCCAGAGAGGGGAGAAAACAGCTGGCGATTTTTCTGGGTGAACTTGCGAGGCTGACTCACAGAGCATGCTGAGACAGGCTAGGAAAAGGCCAGCCTAGTGTCCAAGTTGAAAGTCGTAGTTAGACCTGTAGCTCTCCAGTCAAGTTTTGTCATGTGACTCGCCAACTACTGCAGAGACTGGTAGTTCCAGGATATCAAGTACTTCTCTGGCTCTTGACAGGATCAGAAAGAGATGGTTGACTTAACCCTTTGCTGTCTACACAGTTGGTGTTTCCTGTTCTGGGTGCTACTGCCAAGTGTCCTGGTACTTAGAGCTGGGATGCACAACTTTACCGCCGACCTAGCAATGCAGCCGCCTGTCCTCTGCAATTGGCCACAGACGAAGCCCTGAGCCACCAGGCTTCTAGAGTTTCTGCACCCTCTCCCGGCCGCCTGACTGGAGCCCCGTGGAGGTGCCCTCCTGTCACTTCCCTGGACAGTTCTCTGGGAAAGCTGTATATTTTGGTTATTGTTTTGTGTTTTCCGTTGCATTTTATATCTTGTATTTATCTTCAGATAGGTTTTGTACTTTTTGGTTTTGTTTTCCTAGGCCAAGAAATTCATTTGTGTATATAGATACTTGCATGCTAGACTGTAGTCAACGTTCAGTTCCTTGGAAGGTCTTGCTGCTGTTGGGTGTGCTCGCTACATCCATTGTGACTGTATTCAACCCATTTCACATGTAAATAAACGAGGAACATCTGGCCCTTAAAAAAAAAGTTGAAATAAATTTATTCCTCCCATAGTTTCTTTGGATTATAGTACGTATCACAACAAATTAGCACAATAATAGAAAAAGCACTGGAAATATCATAAGACAAAAATGGGTCTGCTGTGCCTATAAGATCACTGTGCATATAAGCTCACAGCAGCCACAGTTGGTTATACAATACCTGATCAAGATCAGTTAACATTCTTACTAGCTTGAGATAGAATTAAAAGTGGTTTTAATTTGCTTTTCTCTACTGGTTAAGAATGTTGAACACTTTAAAAATGTTTTTCCTAGCTATTTGAAGTCAAGAAAGCTCAAAGCCCATTTTTGTGACTTCTATATATAGAAATTTTTTTCCTCATTTCTTTTCAAAATGATTATGATTTGTATATAAGAAGAAAGCTGTGTTGACCAAGGTTTCTGTTCAACCTGGTTCCTCATCTGTTTAGCCCCAAAGAAATACACAGAGGTCTCACATTAATTTATAGACTGATTGACCTAGTATCTCAGGCTTCTTATTAACTCTTATAACTTACATTAGCCCTTAATTCTTTTCTGTTAGCCTTGTGGCCTGTCACCTTTTTGGCGAGGCAGTCACATATTGTTTGCTCTGTGTCTGGCTTCTTTTCTGGCTAGGTGACCACTGTAGAGTGAAACTTCCCTCTTCCCAGAATTCTCATTTACCCACCTCTGCCTGGTTGCCCAGCCTATACTTCCTGCCTGGCTACTGGCCAATCAGCATTTATTTAAAACACAAGTGACAGGTTACAGACCACTGTCTCACAGTACAACTAATTTGTGCTTGTTACTTTGATAACAGACAACTTTTGTAAAGTTGTTCATCAGCTCTAAGATTTTTTGTGGTGATATCTCTGGTGTTTATCTGTAATATCTTTGATAAAGATAAAAAACCTTTAATATCTTTGATATGGTAATATATCATCTGCCTAAATTAATGGTTCTAGCTAATTCCTTTATAAATAATTCTATCTCTGTGACTGGAAATACCAGAAATAACAAAATAATATAGGGAAGTTGTTTTCCTGCTCTCCATTTTCAGTGTTTTTCATTCAAGATTTATTTCCTTCTATTTTCTTCTCTTGTATTAATTCTTTCTCTATCTAGGGTCCTAGCACTAAATTGAGAACTATTGAAGAGGAGTGGGCATCTCTGTTTTGTTACTTTGGGTTTTTTTCCAATTTACCATGATGCTGTCCATAGGCTTAGTGTATAAAGCATTTATCATATTGAGTTAATTTTTCTCTATCTCTAGTCATCCTATCACTTTTAATATGATGGAATGATGATAGCTTGTCATATATCATTTTTTTGTATATATTTAAGATGATCACAAGATTTTTAACTTTGGGTCCTCTTATGTGATGAATTAGGTATAATGATTTTCATGTACTGGACCATCCTTTCAAATCTGAATAAAACAAATTTGATTATGATTAATCATTAATCAATCTTTTGATGTGGTCTTGGACTCAGTTTGCAAGTTTTTTATTGAGTGTTTTCTCATGTATGTTGATCACATTATATGCAGTGTTTGTTGTTGGGTCTTTGGTTTTAAAACCAGTGTAATATTGGCTTTGTAATGAGATTCTGATAAGATTCCTTCCTTTCCTATTTTGATGAATAATGTGAGTAATATTTATGTAATTCCTTTTTTAAGTACCTGGTAAAATTCTGCACATAATCCATCTGATACTGGGCTTTCTTTACTTTGATTTCTTTTTATGTCTCCTTCAATCTTGCTGTTGGTAATAGGCTTATTATTTTATTAACTAAGTACATTTTAATTAATTAAACAAAATTTCCCCTCTGTTCTCTCCTCCCATTCTCTCCTCCCACATTTCTTGCCCTCCCCAATCCACTCCTCCCTTGTTTCTGTTCAGAAAGGGGCAGATCTCCCATGGGTGTCAGCAAAGCTTGGCATATCACATTGACTTAGGACTAAGCTCCTCCTCTTGTATTTTGACTGGACAAGGCAACAAAGTATGAGGAATATTTTCCCAAAAGTCTTCCAATGAAATAGAGACAGAGCCTGACACTACAACTAGGAGTCCCAAAATTAGATCAAAATATAAAGCTGTCACACATATGTAGAGGACCTAGTTTGGTTTCATGCTGGCTCCCTAGCTGTTGATCAAGAGTCTGTGAGCTCCTATGAGCCCAAGTTTGTTGTTTCTATGGATTCCTTTATGATGAACTTGACTTCCTTGGCTCATAATTCCTCCACCTTCTCTTCAAAAGGGTTCCCTGACCTAAACCCAGTGCATGGCTTAGGATCTCTCCATCTGTTTCCATCAGTCACTGGATTTAGTCTAATGAAATTTAGGTAGTTATCAATCTGATTGACAGGAGATGGCCAGTTCCAGCTACATATTCAGTATTTGTAGGAATCTTAGCTGGTTTTTTTTATAGGTTTGATGTAGGTGGGCCTTCTATCTATGTGTTATTTTCATTGGTTAATAAAGAGACTGCCTTGGCCCTTTGATAGGACAGAAAATTAGGTAGGCGGAGTAAACAGAACAGAATGCTGGGAAGAGGGCAATGAAGCAGACGCCACGGAGCGAGCCACCAGGTCAGACATGCTGAATCTTTCCCGATAAGCCATCACCTCATGATGCTACACAGATTATTAGAAATGGGTTAATCAAGATGTGAGAGTTAGCCAGTAACTAACTCTCTAGAGATAATTGGCCAGGCAGTGTTTAAATGAATACCATTTGTGTGTTGTTATTTTCGGGGCTAAGCTAGCCATTCAGGAGCCGGGCGGGATGAAAAGCAGGCCTGCCCGCGTCTCCTCATTACAAATGGCACCCAACGTGGGGCCTGAACCCACGACCCTGAGATTAAGAGTCTCATGCTCTACTGACTGATCTAGCCAGGCTTCAAAATTGAAGTCAAAAGGTATGCTACTTTGGAGAAGAGATTTTGCTTTTGTTTATACAGAAAATGAGAAACTGTGGATTCATTCTGAGCTAAGAAAAATCAGATTTGATCAAGAAAGACCACCCAAAAAATCTCCAGTAGGAACAGATGACCTGGATGTCTGAATTCTACATCCAGAACAAATTCAAGACTACTGCCTGAGATGATCAAGATTCACAGGATACTCCAGTCAGGACTTGATTATAACTCTAAATTTTCTTTAGGTCCCCATAAGATTATCAACGCCCCCAACCAGCAGGAAGTAGCCTGAAATACTATGCCCACAAATGTAGTCCCAACAAATGGACTATGGGTATTTTCCTTTGTTAAAAAAAAAAGAGGGAAATGGTACAGGAGAATTGTCTGTATTCTGTCAATCATATCTGAATAAAACACTGATTGGCCAGGCAGGAAGTATAGGCGGATCAACCAGACAGGAAGTAGAGGTGGGGCAATGAGAGTAGGAGAAGGCTAAGGAGGAGGAAACTCCCTCCGACATTCCTGCCCAGATCACTGAAGAAGCAACATGTGAGCTGACAGCTGAAAAGGTACCAAGCCATATGGCTAACATAGATCAGAATAATGGGTTAATATAAACTACAAGAGTTAACAAGAAGCCTGAGCTAATGGGCCAATCAGTTTTATAATCTTATAGAGTCCTCAGTGTGATTTTCTCTGGGATA